ACCTGCTGCCCCACCATTCCACCTGCCCCCAGCTCACCCAGAAGTCACCCCGGACGCGGCCAGGGGCCACCACCAGCTCCTGCCAGCCCTCGCCCCAGGGCCCCGAGCTCCGCCACAGGGCCAGCGTCTCCGTGCCATGTGTCAGCTCCAACCGCAGCTCAGCCACGTCTGTCACGGGGTCCGGGCAGCTGAGCCCCTGTGCCTCCCAGCCCGCGGGCTGTGCCCCTGGACTCCTGCCCCTTCCCTGGGCGCCCTTCCATTTTCTTCTCTCTCTCTCTTTTTTAAATATATTTTTTATTGATTTCAGAGAGGAAGGGAGAGGGAGAGGGAGACAGATTCAGTGATTAGCAGCCTCCTGCACACCCCGCACAGGGGTTCGAGCCTGCAACCTGGGCCTATGCCCTGACCAAATCGAACTTCGACCTCCTGGTTCGTAGGTCGATGCTCAACCCCTGAGCCCTGCCCGAGGGGCCGCCCTTCCATTTTCTGCAGCAGCAGCTGTCTTGTCCTGTCTCCCCGCTCTGGGCACCCCACCGGCCGCAGGGCGGGCACACACCTGCAGAGGCCGCCTGGTACCAGAGCCTCAGCTCACAGGTGGGGGCCGCCTCACGCAGGACGGGGGAGCGCAGGGCGGCCACGGATGGCTCTTTCCCGCGATGAGTGCCAACAGCCGCGTACCAGCCTGGACAGCAGAGCGGTTAGAAGACGGGCAGGAACCGAGCAAGGGGAGGCCTGGGCACCCACCTCGAGGGCTCACCTAGGTCAGTGCCCAGAGTGTGGTCTGCGCGCGGCCCAGGGCCCCCCAGCGCGGCCCCTGCCCGGTCCCGGAGCCAGCGGTAGCCTGAGGTGCTGATGTCTCGCCAGCCACAGGAGTCCTGCTCGAAGCTGCAGGCGAAGGGGGCGCTCCGGGCGGGTGAGGCCCCGTTGTAACCTGGGACAGCAGGGGCAGGGATCAGGGGAGTGGCCCTCAGGGGCCGGCCAGCCCTGCCCCGCCACCCGCCGCCCTGCTCACCACACTGTGTCTCGTCGGAGCAGTCCCCGCAGTCGCACACGAAGTTGCACACTGTGTCCGGGGGGGCCCGGCAGTGGTTGGGGACCCAGGCCCCGCCTGGGGACCCTGCTGCCAGCAGAGACAGGCAGGGGTCTAGCAGGGTGACCCCATCCTGTATGCCTGGGACGGTCCAGGCTGTGGGTTGTCCTGCTCTGGGTTCCGGGCCAGGAGGTCAGAGGGGGGGCTGGGTCTGTGGCTGGGGGCTCCCCGCCAAGGCCGAGCCGAGCACAGCTGTCCTGAGAGGCTGGCTGCCCGGGACCGAGGGCCCCCCACGTGGAGCAGCCCCTGGGGAGGGAAGCGGAATCCGGGAGGGAGGGTACCCCCAAGGGGGGTTGTCAGTGGTGACCCAGACCCCCTCCGGTTCCAGGCGTCCAGGAGCATGCGTTTGCCGCCAGGGCCTCTCACCTGGGGCCTGGGCCTGGGAGAGCACCAGTCTCGCCCTCTGCCCAGCGGGGCAATCCCAGGGCCCCAGGGCTCCCTCTGGGTCCCACCCAGCTCTGCTACGGAGCCGAGCCCGACGACTCACCCAGGAGCAGGACCAGGGCAGGTAGGAGGCGGCTGGGCAGAGGCATGGCCAGGCCGAGGGAAGCGGACCGGGGGCCCCGTGCTCAGTTATCCCCTCGGCCCTGCTGCTGACTCCGCTCTAACTGGAGGGGCCCCTGGGCCAGCCCCGCCCTGGCCGATGAGGGCAAACTTCCAGTCATAAAAGGGTCCAGGAGAGGGGCCCCCGGTCCCCGTCAGCTCCCACTAGTCCAGCAACTCCGGACCCAAGGTCTGGCCCTGCCCGTCACGCCAACCGCCGCTCAGCCCTGCCTGGTGGAGGCCCCACTGGAGGTGGCTCCGGGCAGCACAGGCTGCGAGCACTCCTCCCGGGCCTGTCCCCACCCTGGCAGTGAGGTCAGCCGGCCCGGGCGCCAGCAGGTACCCAGCACCCCTAAACCCTGGGAGGAGGGCCAGCAGCCAGGGACCTTGACCATCTCCATCCCCATCACTCAGCCTATGGTGTCTGTTCCCTTACTCATTCCTAAATAATCACTTATTTAAATGTATTTTTATTGATTTCAGAGAGGAAGGGAGAGGGAGACAGAGGACCATCAATGATGAGAGGGAGTCATGGGTCGGCTGCCTCCGGCACGCTCCACCGGTGATGGAGCCAGCGACCCGGCATGTGCCCTGACCAGGAGCCGAACCGTGACCTCCTGGCTCCTAGGCTGACGCTCACCCACTGAGCCACACCGACCGGGCTGTAACCATTTATTCGTGGACGACTGTCCCGAGCAGTGTGCCTGGGCACCCAGGGGCCCTGATGCTCTTGGCACCGACCACAGATGCCCTCCGCCCCCCACTTGCCAGCACAGGGTGGGGAGCTGAGCTCTGCCTGCAACGGACTCTGTGACCTGGGAGGCTGCCTGCCTCACCTGTGGAAGTGGTGGCACTACACCTGCCCGGCGGCTGCCGTGAGCTCACGGAAGGCACGCACGACAGGGCCGCAGCCACGGGCACCCCCACACTCAGGGAGCCAAGGGCAGCTGGGCTTCAGTGGGCCTGGCTCTGCCTCCCTTGCCTGGTGACCCCCCGCAGCTCTGCACTGGGGAGAGGAGAGGGCTTTGGGGAGAGGGGCTCCCAGCGCCATGTCAGACCTCTGCCTGTTCACCTTGGCTGTGGGCCGGGGCCGGGCCCTGATCCTGGGAGCAAGGAGACACATGCCACTTTCACGTGTGACCTGGGTGGGCAGGACACACAAGGGCTGAAGTCAGCTGCCGGGACGGTGGCCGCAGGTGCCCTCCCTGCCCGCATGCTGGCACGGGCACTCCCAACCCAGGCCCCAACTCCTTTCGCAACGGCTGGGTGGGCCTCATCCCAGATGTCCTTGGGGACAGTCACGAGGAAGAGCAGCTAGGCCATAAAGGGGGACAGAGCTGGGGGGCGGGGGCTTATCAGACTCCAAAGAGCTGAGTGTGCATGGCCACTCCCTGGGGTCCCAGGGGTGGAGCTGGGCGAGGGGCAGCGGGGAGGGGAGCCCCTGCCCCAGGGCTGCCTCTGACTCTCTGCCACCCACCCACTCTAGCCAGGGCCCAGAGGAGCAGAGAAGTCGAGACACAGCCTCCGGGGCCCAGCTGGGTTAGTGCTTTTTATTCCCGTGGGTGAGGTAAACCCGGACCTGGCGCCAGGCTGGCGTCCATCTCCAAAGCCTGGGCAGGGTGGCACGCGCCAGGGGGGCAGCCCAGCCCCTCAGGAGGGCTTCAAGGGCAGAGTTCTGAGTGGGTGGCCTCAGTAGCCATCGTCTGCCCAGGTCACTTCGTAGTCCGGGTACCTGGCTTTGATCTTCTCGGTGGAGATGGAGTGCTGGGCACGGCCGTACCCCTGAAGAAAGAAGGCATCTCACAGCCTGTGTCCTGGCTCTGGGGGTCCAGGTAGCAGTGACACCCCGGAGCCAGAGCAGCGCAGGGGCCCCAGGGCGGAGCCAAGTGCCATCATTCCCCAACCTCCCAGGGAGCCCTCGGTGGGAAGGTGGCCACCACGGAGAGCAGGCCTCTCGCCGGAAGCCCAGGCTATCCTAGGCGCCAAGTGAATGTCCCTGGACTTCCACTGGTGGCCTGGTGAGGGGAGAGGGAGGGGCCTCTGGGTGTCACCCAGATACTGAGGCCTCAGTGACAGCCCACCCGGGCCTCTCTTCATATGTATGTATATGTTTTCTTACTGATCTCAGGAGGAAGGGAGAGGGAGGGACAGAAACATCAATGATGAGAGAGAATCATTGATCGGCTGCTTCCTGCTCACCCCACTCTGGGCACCCGGAATCGAACTCTGACCTCCCGGTTCATAGGTTGATGCCCAACCACTGAACCACACCGGCCAGGCCCAACCAGGTCCCTTGAGGCTGGAACAGGACTCAGCCCGCTGTACTGCTGGGCAGCTGTGGCCTCCCACCCACCCTGGGTCCCGTGTGAGCTCTGCAGCGGGTGCGGTGCGCGCGGGGCCTCACCATGGAGTAGCCGTACACGTGGATCTTCTTGTCCTGGCTCTGGTGCGAGATGCGCCCGCCGCCCAGGCACTCGCAGCCATAGCCTTTCTGCTGCATCTCGCCCGCCACCTTGTCGTAGATGTCCGCTGGGGCGGGAGAGGCGGCACTCAGCCTGCGCCCGTGGGAACCAGGGGTCTGAGCCCCAGCGCTGAGCAGGGG